ATACTAACAAGCTTTCTGTGTTCTTTCAACTACCAATAGGAATCAGACTTCCTGTTTCCTCTTCACTATGGAACTCACCTATTCTAAGATATTCTCCATCCGTCCACCCCTGATTCCTAAGCTTCTACTTTTCACTAAAAGTTTCTGCTTTTCAAGAAGTTTTTTTGAAGTCCTACCCGGGTTTGAACAACTTGTTGAGAATTCAGCAACTTCAGGCATGCCTGTTAGAGGAGACCACACCACCAGGTGGGCCACCTCAAACCCCCACACTGCCTCCTGGCAGGCAGCCTTCTGGAGGTGTCACCTTGGCACCCTGGCTGGGCCAGCTGCCACCCAGCAGGAGTTAATGACGTGGTATCAGTCAAGTTAGGCAAACTGGGGTTAGCACAGGCAAGGTTACTCCCAAGGTTACCACTGCGACTCACCACTGTACATGTCAGGGTGGTTTCTTAAGGACGAGTCATTATAAGGGTGGTCTGTAATAAACAAAAGAGGGTGAGCAAACAGGAGGCCACGGAGAAGTCACAGAGGCATAAACGGGGAGAGAAAAAACAAATGCAAAGCCACAAAAACAACCGAGGAGGGCAGCAGTGGTCTTTTGCAAAGGAAAGACACGGCATATTTGGAAAGGCACCACGCTCAGTGAAGAACAAGCAACATAAAACAGTGCACAAAAGGAGAAAAAAGAAAAGGTTAAATCCTGCAAAAGAAGGCAATAATAAAATAATGTTTTTTTTTAAATTAAAGAAATTAGGTTTGAACTTTAATTATTTGGTCCTGCTATATTTTCAAACAAATGAGAGAAGGATTAGTGGTGTCCTGTAGCCGTCTTTTGAACAACTCCTTCTTATCAAAATCCTCAGTTCCCAGGACTCTGGGTCAGGCCAGCTCTTGGAGCAGCTAAAGAGAAAGGAGTGTTAGTGAGCTCCGGGGAAGAGCAAAGTCCTGCCTGGGCAGAAGCTAAGCTGCAGGGGGTTGGCGGTAAATGGGAGGAGGTCAATGACCAAAAGAGTGGGGCCAAGGGGCCCTGGCCACACCCAGCAACATGTGTCACTGGAGTCTGACCAGGTGGGTACCACTATGATCTTGGAGATGTCTCTGTTGGCAGAAAGCCCTCCTTGTAAGAGGATGCCGGGAGTGGTTCAGTGAGGTGGGGAGAGCATCCCTGAGGTTCAGGCTTTAGAATTTAGAAATGGAGCTTGGGACAGGAGAAAGTGCAAGCTGTGAGTTCTACACTTCAGACTAGGAAAGTCCTGCTGAACATTCTGGAGGTTCGAAGCTCTCTAGACTATGCAGGATTGAAGACATTCCTTATGGAGCAAGATCAGTAGCTTCAGTTCCAATGTTAGGTAATTCAAACTTGTGGCATTTACTCCTTAGTGAGAAAGACATTTCAGAAGAGGACGCATCATCACGCCAGTGGCCTAAAGGAGCTTTTCCTTCTCTACCTCCGGTCCCTCCCAGCGACTCGGTCCAAACTGTGACAGTACTAAAAGGGGGTGGGGTGCAGCTGACTGGAAGCCAAGCAGATGGCCCTGAGGAGCTCAGAACACGATCCAACTGCCTGAGGGACAACAGGGGCTCTGCCAAAACATTTGCATATTTGACGACAGATCCAATCCCATTACAACTAGTTGCAAGAGGTATGAGAGTCCTTTTCTGGGACTGGCATTGCATTGCATCCCAAATCTGCTTACCACCTGGTAGGAAGATTTTCATTATTCAAAACTCTCTCTTAAGATGGGGTTTGTTATAAAGATCCAGCCTGTTTGGGAAGTCTGCTCGGATCCATCTGGAGCTAAAGGCAGGAACTAATCCACAATGCAACGAAGAGATGGGCTGGCCCAAGGGCAGGTTGGGGCTGCAGCTGGTCTCGGGAGGCAACTCTGTTCCTCCCCGGGGGGTGGACGGTGGCAAACACAGATGACGCAGCCCTTCCTTCATGCTCCCATGTCACCAGGTGAAATGCAACCTCTCTCTCTCCAGAGAAGTAGCCCACCCCCAGAACTGACCTCATGGTTTGTGAATTCTGGAGCACATGTGAGAAATTCAGGGAAACTTATTTGACTGCTCCAAGAAGGTCATTTAGACATCAGGGGAAAGAAGGGGTGTGCTCTGGTGTCTGCCTCAGGGAGGACCCTCCTCACTTACCACAGTTGCCTCTTACCGCATCAGGAGGCACCCAGCACTTGTTACAGCATGGGCAAAGTGGGATGGGCCCAGCTTTGTAGCCCAACTCCACTGCTTATCTTTGACTGCATCCCAGGTTTTAAAAATGATTTCAGATTACCCAGTATTTTACATTACATACCATTGTCAACTTCCTTCAATGCAGGTAATAAAAATAGGACATGGTAAGATTTATTTCTTCCCAAATGGGCAAACTGTGACAGGAGCGCCTGGTGAGAATAGGGCCTTTGAAGCGGTCCCTGCCTGACTGCTTTGCCTCCAACCCCAGACCTGGTTCTGAAGGTACAAGAGAAAGCCTGTGTCCTCTCCAGACAGGAAAGTAGAGAGAGCACCACTGTGCTATTTTAAGCAACTGTGCCCAATTCTGGGCTGGCTCAGATGCCCAGAACTTGCTCCTAGCCAGAGCTGCCCCTGGGAGAACTCCAGGAAGCTGATGGGGCTCTGTTCCAATCACCTAGGGGGTTTCTCGCCATTCAGAGGAAAGAGTTTTCAGTGGAATAGAGGACCCAGAAATGAAGCATTAACAATCATTCCTTACTTTTTCTGGTAGAGAAAAGAGTGTTTCTGGAAAGTCCAACTTCAACACATTGTTTAAATCTCTAACTGCAGAGGAAGTTAGTTAATTCTACAGAGGAAGACTCTTCACCACCTCAGTCTCTTGGCCACTGCTCTACTCTGAGTGACAGTGATGGGCTCTGCCCAGGATGGCAGAAGGTCAGCTGACTCAGTTCCAAAAGCAGCAGGCTGACTTCCAGCATCATCCGGGCAGGGAGAGAGGGGCCCTGGCGGTGATGCTGATGGCTGTCCAGTCTCAGCTCAGTGAGCATCTTATCTTGTTCTTGACATCCCTGCTCCTCCCCTTGCCAATGCTGTTAGTCCTGTCCTGACTGCTGAGGCCACTTCGAGGTCCTGGGCAGACCACACTGTCCTCCCCAGCCCAGCCAGTTGGCAGGACCAAAGAGACACTGCAGACAAACCAACTTTCTCCTCCAAGGGGTCTCCCTGGGCTTGGGTCAGGACTAAGAAAGCCAGGGACAGGGGAGCAAGCAGAGTGAAGCCAGGTCACCCTGCCAGTAACGCGAGGGGCTTGCTGCAGGTGTTAGGCAACCCTGCCGGCTACCACCTTTGGCAGCCCAGCACCAACGCAGATCAGTGCGTGGGGACACTGCAGAGGCAGGAGGCGGTGATTAGAGGGAGGCAGAATGGAGTTCCAAGACAGAACAGAGAGAGGGAAAAGAAGAAAGAACAAGAAAGAGGGAGGAGAAATAAAGAAGGAAGTGAAAAAGAAAAAGGAAGAAAATGAAAAGGTGAAAGAAAGAAAGAAAGAAAAAAAACCATGAGAAGGGGAAGAAAAAAGGAAGCTGCTTCCTTTTGGATCCACCTCTGTGCCATGGTGAAAATGGAGCATGGGGCTGTGTCAGCTCTCAGGACCACCTGCCTCCATCATCAGCAGGGACGGGGAGGAAGAAACAGAATGCTAATGGTCACACCCCCTACCTGTCCAGAATGAGAAGTGATGTCGCCCGAACCTCTCCTGACCCACATCCACCCGGGGAGCCATTGTCCACCACCTCTGCAGGGGGCTCCAGGAAGCCAGGGTCAGCCTATTTTCTCTGACCTTTGCAAACTGCCAGCACCCACATGGTGATCTCTACTGGCCTCCCCGACAATCCTCACTGTCCAGAGCATCAAAAACAACACCCACAGCATGAGCCAGACTAAGGTCTATTCTTTGGGGGGCTCCTTTATGGAAGACGTGTTACAAATCCATGGTGTGCAGCAACATAGAGAACTTCCAACGTCCTGAGTGGGCTGAGACTTTGCAGCAAAAGCTCTAGGCTGCTTTGTCCTTGCCAAGAAGAACATTTCTGACTAAGCTTCTCTCTCTCCTCAAGGGAGAGCCACCAACGCTATAATGGGTCAGGAAATGCTGATTTGCTTTTGTACCAGTCAAACAGAATCAGGGAATAGAAATGAAAACAAATAAAACGAAAACATAAGCCTGCAACTTACAAACATAGCAATTCCATATGGTTCAGCATATACGTATTACAGAATCAAATACAATTTATTTTAGTGTCTCCACTAATTTTCATATTTTCTGCTATTTCTTGTAGAAATAAAGATACCCAAGCAATGAGAAGAAATAAAAGAAATAATCAAGCTGGGTCCGGAGAGAGGTTCTAGATGACCACTGGAAGCAGTGGTTCTCAGACTCTGGGGTGCACTTGAATTACCTGGAGGGCTCATAAAGAGCAAAGAGGCTTAGGGCTGTTGAGGTGCAATAGGCTGGTTCTGGGTACGCTGCCAAGTTCTAAGGTGATTCTGATTCCCACCAGAATTTAAGAAGAATTGACTTAGGGTAGGACCAAGTTTAACTCAAGGTTTCACAATCAAGAGAGATCATTTAAGAGCAGCTGAAGTGGCTCAGGCACCATGAGTTGGAAGGATTTCTAGGTCAGCCTCAAGGAGAAGTCTCCCCCTAGACTCAGGTACCTAGGGCTGGGTGGGGTCAGTGGGCTTCTTTCCCTGGCCCACAGCCCCCGGGCAGGGGCCTGCACTTACTGGTAAGGACCTTGAGGGTGAAAGGGTTCTTCTGCTGGATGGTGTGGGTGAAGTGGAAGCGGGCGTTGCAACTGTAGTCGGTCTGCATGTCCTGCAGCATCACGTTGGAGAAGTACAGGTCTCCATTATGGCCCTGAGAGACACGTTTGTCTTGGGTGATGGGCTCCATGGCTATAAGAAAACAGAGGTACAGCAGCAGGTTAGTAGTAATAACAGTAATCATCACCACCGCAGTCCTGGTGACAGAATACTTTACAGAGGGTCAGGTGGTGACCAGGAGCTTGACATCACTTGGTCTAGTCCTCTCAACTCTGAAGTATGGCTTATTCCCATTTTACAGATCAGAAAGCAGAGGATGTAATACGTTCAGCATTGCAAAGGCAGAGAGGAGAGCAGGAGTTTAGACGTAGACCTGTCTGCCCACCATGTCCATGCTCTGTGGCCACACTTTTCTCTCTCCTATTCACGCCACAAAAGATCTCACTGGCTGTGGGGCCAGCAGAAGGAACACAAGCCATCAGGTGTTCCCCAAGGCTCAAATTCTCAAGCTAGCAGCGAGAGCACTTTGAGGCCAGGGACCATGATCTGTTCATCTTATGCCCCAGCACCTGTCTTAGGACTCGGCATATAGGAGGCACTCAACTGTCTGCTGAATTAAATGAAATTGAACTTGGCCTTGCTGTATTTAGTAAAAATGTAATCATCAATTATAATGTATACCTTTGTTTTTTATCCCTAAGAAGAAAGCACTACTGTGGCACCAAGATGGCTGAATAGGAAGAGCTCCAGCCTCCAGCTCCCAGCGTGAGCGACACAGAAGATGGGTGATTTCTGCATTTAAAACTGAGGTACCAGGTTCATCTCATGGGGGTGTGTCGGACAGTGGGTGCAGCCCAACGAGCGAGAGCTGAAGCAGGGCGAGGCATCGCCTCACCCGGGAAGCGCAAGGGGGAAGGGAATTCCCTTTCCTAGCCAAGGGAAACTGTGACACACAACACCTGGAAAATCGGGTCACTCCCACCCTAATACTGTGCTTTACCAAGGGTCTTAGCAAATGGCACACCAGGAGATTATATCCCATGCCTGGCTCGGAGGGTCCCATGCCCACGGAGCCTCCCTCATTGCTAGGACAGTAGTCTGAGATCTAACTGCAAGGCAGCAGTGAGGCTGGGGGAGGGGTGCCCACCATTGCTGATGCTTAAGGAGGTAAACAAAGTGGCTGGGAAGCTCGAACTGGGTGGAAGCCTGCCTCTGTAGACTCCACCTCTGGGGACAGGGCATAGCTAAACAAAAGGAAGCAGAAACCTCTGCAGATGTAAATGTCCCTGTCTTACAGCTTTGAAGAGAGCAGTGGTTCTCCCAGCATGGAGTTTGAGATCTGAGAACGGACAGACTGCCTGCTCAAGTGGGTCCCTGACCCCTGAGTAGCCTAACTGGGAGACATCCCCCACTAGGGGCAGACTGACACCTTACACCTCACACGGCTGGGTACACCTCTGAGACGAAGCTTCCAGAGGAATGATCAGACAGCAACATTTGCTGTTCAGCAATATTCACTCTTCTGCAGCCTCCACTGCTGATACCCAGGCAAACAGGGTCTGGAGTAGACCTCAAGCAAACTCCAACAGATCTGCAGCTGAGGGTCCTGACTGTTAGAAGGAAAACTAACAAACAGAAAGAAAATCCACACCAAAACCCCATCTGTACGTCACCATCATCAAAGACCAAAGGTAGATAAAACCACAAAGATGGGGAAAAAGCAGTGCAGAAAAGCTGAAAATTCTAAAAATCAGAGCACCTCTCCCCATCCAAAGGAATGCAGCTCCTCGCCAGCAACGGAACAAAGCTGGACAGAGAATGACTTTGACGAGTTGAGAGAAGAAGGCTTCAGATGATCAAACTTCTCTGAGTTAAAGGAGGAAGTACAAACCCAGCGCAAAGAAACTAAAAACCTTGAAAAAAGATTTGACGAATGGCTAACTAGAATAACCAATGTAGAGAAGTCCTTAAATGACCTGATAGAGATGAAAACCATGACACGAGAACTACGTGACAAATGCACAAGCTTCAGTAACCGATTCAATCAACTGGAAGAAAGGGTATCAATGATTGAAGATCAAATGAATGAAATGAAGTGAGAAGAGAAGTTTAGAGAAAAAAGAGTAAAAAGAAATGAGCAAA